GGTGTTGTTTACGAAAATGAGAAGACGAAAAGCGTATGTCCGGCCCTTTAACCGGATTCCAAACCAATGGTGCACATGGGCTAACTCCAGTGTCCTGCGGGAACAAATGGCATATGAACCAATTGTTAGTCACCGTCTTCCATGGGACTGTATCTCCTTACGATGCTCCACTGCCTTAAGGATCAGACCTTTAGGTCAAAGGCTCCAGGTGTGGGTCCCTAAGAAAACCACCTAAATTCGATGTGGGTACCCGGGCAGTATCACAGCCCTCACACAAATCAAATGAGATTTGTGTGGCGCGTATGTATTTGGTGCCTCCTTGCACCAATATCTATGCGTTAAAATAAATAAATAAATGAAACACTTGACAATTCAATTATTACATAATTATTTCATTTCATTAATCGTGGAGTATACCAACTTTTTTTTAAAGATGACATCAGTAAATGAATTGTCGGTATGTACGAGTCTAGGCAATATATAAAAAAATCAACACATTATCATCGTATCGTACACAATAAACAGCATGTTTGGACGTGTGGAAGAAAATGATATGCTCTATGTTGTTTTAAATGAATTAAACCAGTTTGAATGTGCATACACAAATAGAAGAAATAAAAAAAAGAGAGAACTAAAGACAGAGAAAAATATAATTGGTAACAGGGGATCAATACTCACTAGAATTTATAAATATTTATACATAGGGTGCTTAAAAATTCTGTAAATTACTTGACAACAATATGAAATCCATGTAATTGAGATCATGGAGAATAGTTGTAGTTCAGCATGAGAGTTTTGGACTCATTCTGTTCTTTTTTTTCAACTTGAATAATTTAATGGTGGTGCTTAAATGGTCGTTCTAAACAAAAACGTCAATATACACTTAAGAACGTAACTCAACCACAGACAATATGCAATGAAGTGTTCCAAGTTAACAAAAAAATCTGTTAATTGATCGTGAAAATAAGTCGAATAGTTCACTTTTTTTAATTATGAGCGGATGTTGTCTAGAAAAACACTGAAACATTCACAACGATAAACTACCAAGCGTAACAGAGAACATAAATAACACCGTAAAAATCAATGTTATTGAATTAAATCATCAAAATAATCAAATGTAGAACAGAAAGTAAACTAATTTATCAAGACTTATTGAAATCGTTTAAAGATCCCCGTCATATTAAAGGACTAGTATTTGAAAGAAGAATATTCTTTTCCATGAATTCTCTTCACGTTCTACAATTATATATCCAAATTAATAATCCAAAAAATGGTCAGGTTAAGGGCAAAGTGCATCGTTTAAAGTATTTAAAGTGAATTTAGGATTATGATAAATAAAATACAATAAAATTGTTAATGTTAATATGACTCATATAGAATGTTTGCTTGAATCTGCGTATATGCTAAGTGAAATTGTTAAGATCCATGATCAGAATAAATATGGGTCAAATAGGGTGAAAGAGAAATAATAGTGCAATTACAATTCGATCAAATAAGTAAGACATAATTATCAATGCTTTATTGTAATTTCATGTAACTAGTTTCTTATACAAAAATTGACTATCTATTAATATACGTGTTTTGTTTTTTTAGCTTTACCTCGAATGATCACAGTGTTGTAGAAATTCATTTATTTATTCTTCTACTTTCTCTTTAAATTCATTAAACTTTCATTCTGCAAGTTAATTCATTAATTTTATAACTATTAGTATTATTAGTTGAGATCATGGATTCACCAATGTTAGAATATCATTGAAAACCTAAAAGCTCAGGAAGAATGTTTCGTCCTGGTATAGAATTTCTCACTAATGAGAATTTTCAACATCGCAAATGGGACTCGAACCTAGAACGCTTTAGCTCTAGACCACTGAGCAGGCATCCAATAGTGTGAAAATCAAGCTTCAATCAATCCATGGTATTGCGCGAACATCTTTCATTGTCTCTGGTGGGTTGAACATTTACACCGTTAGATGCCGTCTCAGTGATTTAGAAATTAAACGTTCATGCGCGAAACAGAAGGTTCTGAGTTCAAATCACTGCTGAGGAGTTCCATACTAGGACGAAATGACCTTCTAGTGTTGCCAGGTTTTCAATGGTAATCTAATACTGATCGATTCATGATCTAAATTAAAACTCAACTATCTCCACAACCCTATACTTATTATTATCATTGAAAAATGGATTTTTTTTCAACCATTAGTTTGTTCATCCAATAATAAGTGATAATTTAAAGTTGTACAAAGAATTGATCACATGATTAGAGCACAAAAATTCTAAATATATGTATGTATGTCTTATAATGACAAGTAAACCTTAGGCGCGGTGTTGTTAACTTAAATCCGATTACTTTGAAAAGGTGAACATTGAATGACATGAAACATTAAAATTGAATTTTGGAAAAGAATGAAGCGATTAAAGAAATTATTTCGATTGTTGTTGTTGTTGCTGCTTGAAACAGACATTTCTACTATATGTATGTATGATGAAGAGCTAGATAGGGAATAAGTTGCTTTCAAGTGATTCTATTTAAATGAAATACTGATTACGAAATCATATTTTAAACCTTAATACATTTTCAATACTACTTAATTAAGAATAAATACTGAATTATTGTATATGAATTATTAGTAATTTTGGGAATAAATTTAACTAGAAAATACTAAAATGGTTTTCCTTAAACATACAATATAACTTAATTATAAAATGTATTTATTATTTTCTATGAAAAATATCGTAACGAATACATATGCGCCACACAATAACAATGAGTTTGGTAGTAATTATCATTGATTTGTGTGAGATTCATGATAGCGACGGGGTGCCAAAGTCGAAGCGGGTGGGGTTTTTTTAGCGAACCACATCCGGAGCCTTCGACCTAAATTTCTGATCCACAAGGCAATTGAGCAACATCAGTAGATGCAATCCTATGGTAGCCGGCGACCAACAATAGGTTTATACGCCATTTGTTCCTCCAGGATCCTGGAGACTATATGCACTATTGACTTGGAATCAGAGTTTTCCAACTCTCCTAGGTAGACTCTCCGTGTCCACCAACCCGGTCAAAGCGCCAGACATTTGCTTTTCGTCCTCCCGATTTCGTAAACAACACCTGTGGTGCAATAAGGCAGTGAGTAGGACTTCCCTGGCAGTGGCTGTATACGCGTGGCCATGTGAGAGCATTTCTAGAGGGAAAGAGGACACTCTCTACCCTCGACTGTATCACAGCATTTGGGAGTCATGTAAGATTACACACAAAGATCAACATTAGGTCCTTCTTCAGTCACTTAACAAAGGTAATATGTTAGTTCACCTATGTTATATAAACATGAGTAATAACCGTTTTGTAGATGACTATCACAAATCAAAGCGGTCACCGTAAAGTCAACTTCTCTAAATTGTCACTTTATTATGGTAACTAACTTACTAAGTACTTAGAAACAAACTTTGGAAAGTTTGAAGAGAAACTAATTTAAAAGTAGAATAAAAAAAGCATTTAGAGAGCATGAAATAAATGAATACATGTTTGTATGCATGTAGGTATGTGTGAGAAACAGTGAGATATGTAAATAAATAAGTGAATAAATTGTAGCATGAAAATGGTGGTGGTGTGTTCTTGAAACTGTTATTATCGATATGACAGTAATGATGATGATCAGACTAGTAGTAGGAAAGATAGGAGGACGTAGAGAAAAAAACAACACCAATAACAACGAGAAAAATAACAACAAAAACATCAGAATAGAAGGTGTACAGGTTTTCTTCTCTAAAAGAGATATTATAGTATAGAGAATAATATTTAAGCCTACAATAGAGTTAGCTAGACACACATATCGAAGTTCAAACCTTTATAAAGCATAAAAAGGATGGAAGAACAGATGACGACGACGACATTGGCAAGTGGTAAGATAATTCAATGCTAAGAGAAGTAAACCATGTGTACATCGATAACATATATACAGGGGATACATATATATGTACGTGTAGCATACAATGCTCTATATAGTGGGAAGTGAAACAGGTCAATTAAACAAGGTAAAATGTAATTACCTACTATACTTATGCATTGAGACATCCAGTACATGTATAGTGGTGCGTAAGCATAAACGCGAGAAGGTAATACGTATATATATATATATATATATATATATATATATATATATATATATATATATATATATATATATATAAGGGTATTTTCAAGTTGCTTGCTAACAAACGAAATTCGATATCGTTTAAAATAAAAATGACCTTGAGAAAAACAATTTCCATTCCATTCATAGACAATATTGTTAGCTATTTAGTTATTGGAATAATAATTTATATACATTCATTTAGTAGTCAGTCAGTCAGTCACCCACTCATTTCTTTACATACATACACACACAAACAAACAGAGTGAGAGAGAGAGAGAGGGAGTGAGGGTAGAATGCATGTATACAGTTATTTATTATGATTAAGTTCTTTCTTTTTTCCCAATAGAAAAATATGAAAGGGAGACCAGAGAAAATTATCAAAATGACAATGAAGAAAAGAAATTCTAAATTAAATTATAATTGATATAGAAATATAAACTGATTATATATAGATGTATTTACGTACTTATGAAACTACCGACATTATAAGTAAATGAGCATACCACAATTGAGATAAATCGGTAATAGACAATGATGTTTATAGAGATGGTAAACAACGGTTTCCGAGGTGAAAAAAAAGTAAATGAATTTGGTAAATGAGCAACAATTCATTGTTTATATTTACTGGAATTAAGTTAATTAAGTATGCAGATTATAAATGAAACAATGAATTATTGAATGTAATAAAAGTATTACACTAAAAGATAGTTGAAACTCATTAAACCCTATATGATAATTAACAAATCTGTTCACAACTAGGTTTAAAAAGAATATTCATTAAAATCGGCTTGAAAAATATATTTCATAGAAAAAAAAGTTTGAAAGAAAAAATTAGAAAAAATTAATTGGTTGTAACCAAGAACTTACTGAATAATGCATCATACAAGGATCAGTAGGTTGAAATTGTGATCGACCACCACCTGTTGTTGGTACCTGATGCATAGGACGTGGATGACCAGGTGTAGAACGTGGGAAATGATTCATTTGTAATTCATCTCCAATATAGGAAGGATTCATTGGTTTATTTGGAGTTGTAACACAATTAGGAATTGGTTGTTTAACACAGTGAACATTTTGATTGGTAGGTGATGACTGTTGATGTGTAGATGATAAAGACTGTGCATAATTACCACTATTGGTAATAACACTAGATCTACCGGATGCAGCACCAGCTTTACGTTTTTTTGTTCCTGGCTTTGTGACGCCAGAACCACGCCCACCAACTGATTGGTTAGTATTAGTGATAGGTACACATGTAGGAGGAATAGAACCAACAACAGGAGATTGAATAACATTTAATGCTTGACCAGCACGACAAACAGATGGTATTGAACCCGGTTCAATGTGACCAACGAGAGAAGGATTTTCGTTATTTTGAATAGGAGACATAGAAAGAGGAATTGAGTTGGGTGATAACCAAATATCACTATTTGTAGCAGAATGGTAAGGACGTTTTTGCCCAGTAGTTGGGACTAAACCGGGAGTTATTGGGTCAGGACCGGCTGCACCGATAGGACCTAGTGTCCGGCAAGATTCTGTCGGTAGTGTCAGTGAGTCAGAGGACGGATAACCAGGATTTCCAGAACATATATTTGAATTATTTGGTGGAACCATTACAACTGGAGGGCCACTTTGGTAAGCCGGAGGTTGGCAGGATTGTTGGTCAGTCATCATCACTTGTTCTGAAGGCATCATCATAGTTCCAGTAGCCATAGGTGGGACAGGGCACTGAGATGAAAGATTAACTTCATGAGGAGGAACTGCACAGTTGGACATATCAAAAAATCCCATCTGTCTAGGTCCAGAATAACGCATCATCGATGGATCACTTTTTCCACGCTGATAATCAGAACATAATCTATCCCATTCTTGTTGAGCTGACTCATTATTAACATATGGTCCTCCAACTAAACCGCTCTGACGAAATACACCATAGTTTTCAAAATCTACCGGACGTTGTCCAACAGCTTCAGAATATTGTAATGAATTGTTAATAGCTGAATAATGTTTAAAAAGAAAAGAAATATTATAAAAATTCATTAAGCAGTATGTATTTATTAATTAAATGAACAGTTAAGATGAAAAAGTACTTTAAAAGTATTTAATTCTATGAAAAATATTAACTCCGCCTGGAGCACCTCTGGAGTTACTATCATCGGTCCCATGCCCGGATAAAGGAGGTGAGTTGTGAATAGGGGTTAGAGACCCCATCCTGTAGAAAACCAACTCGATTAAAAAAAAACACTAACCAGAAATTAATGTACAATATTATAGAAATAACATAATATTATTAATGTATGTCATGAAAATGTAACAACTCTACCATTATTCTATTGTTGAAAATAAATAAGAAATAAAGAAAGATGAGATTATTAATGATACAAAATTATTTGGAAAATATCAGGTTAAGATAGTGGAAGAATCATGTTCATAAGTATGGTCAAATTAACATTTTACATAGTGTATATATCCCTAAAATACTAATAATAATAAAGAATATTTATTTCCCTTTGGTAGTTTAATAGTTCAGTAAAAAATAATTTTTTTTGAGCTTTCTAGGATTTAACGAGTATCCTTCCACTACATTGATTTATCAAATGCATGTATGTTTATGTACTCAATTTGAAGTTACACATTTTAAAATATTATAGATTCAGCTTGCTAAGTTAATGAGGTGTAGCAATTTGTACAAATGAATATATGTACTTGATCCTACGTTGTAGCTGACTAGATTGACTTACAAATCTCTATAGTTATTGATGCTGTCCCATTTCCATCAAACAGAAAAATAAAAAGATTGAATAGTTTAAACCTACGACTCAATGTATTTGAAAGTTAGATGATTATTTGTAGAACTTTTATAAGATTGTTAGATATAAGTTACAATCTGTTAAGTAATGAGTTAAAGTGAGTAGTGAAATTTAACAATGTTATATGTGAACCAGTTATCCATTAATGACATTGGAAGATAGATTAAATTAACACCAGTTTCAATAGTTACAAAGGAAAAAAAGTAGTAAAAGTTAGTTTAAAGCTTGTTTTATAATACAATAGAGAAAGAGAAAGAAAAGAAGATTTATGAGTGAAAAACAAAGTAGTATTTATGATATTCTAATGAACTATTCTTTAGTTGAACACTACATAAATGTGGTTTTCTTCTAATTAGAAAAATTGAATTAATATGCATTTTTTCTCTTTCTCTCACCTACACAAACACACACACAGTTTGGTTTTCGACTTTTCCATTTTAATATGAATAATGTACTTTTAAAATATGCATAGAACAATTGGTTGTCATCTAATCTATATTACAAAATTATTGATAAATGCATTAGATATTACACAATATATAAACAATGAGATAATACAATTATAATATAATAATAATAATTATTATTATCATTCACTAGTGAAAAGAAAGGAATTATTAACTGTGCACAACAAGTTTGTTCAATGTACAGAAGATTATGTCATAAATGAAATTACTGAACAGTAATGTTTATAAATGTAAGTATACATGATGAGTTAGTTTTGTTTTTGTACAAAAGAGGTAGAGATTATATTAGATATATTGTCAGTTGATTGTTTACAAACACTATTCACGGTATATATATATACATGTATATATCATCTTTCTTTTTTTTTAAGAATTAAATTGACTTATTCACCAGATACTGGCATGTAAATCACACTCTAGATAATGAAGGCTAATAATACTACTATCCAATTGCTCAAAACGAAGTAGAACAGGGATCAAACCTTAGAATTAATGACTAAAGGTTGGACACTTTAACTAATGTTGTTACCATTCTACTCAAATGATCATCTAGTACAATACGTCACTATTATTACTCCAACCTATAATTGTATGATAGAGTCGAATTAGGTAGAAGAATACTGAATGAATTATGTTATTAAATTTATAATTTAAAAATAGGAATAACTAACCGGAAGGTGGTACTTGTGCTGAAGGATTCCCTAACCCTAACGACTGTTGTTCCAGCTGTTGTTGGTGGTGGTGGTGATGATGGTGATGGGATGGCTGTTGTGGCTGCATTGAAATAGAATTACGCATTAAACGCTGTTGTAAGACAGCACCAGCTGTTGCTGCAGTTATAGCACCTGGTGTTGAAGCACTTTTACTTTTACTCAATGTTGAATGAATTTTTTCTAATTGTGCTATTTTACTCTTACGATTCTCCCATTGTTCTTGAGTTAAAGACATACAACCACTATCTGGAATACCAATTATCGGTGAAACTAAAGCAGTAGTTGGACCAATACATTGTTTTGAATTTGAATTAGATGATAAAACAGAAGAATGTTCTAATCCACTGCATGAATTAATATCTTGATGTCCTGTACACATATGTCGAAAATAAGATGAATTAGTGGATTGTTTTATATTAATCGGATCGATAATTTCAACTGGAGATCCTTTCATCGTCATATATGAGTCAAAGGGATATGTTTGTTTTGAGGTGCCATTTCCAGTAATTTGATTTTGTGATATTTGTTGAGTAGATGAAGGATATGATCGATAGTTTCTTTCATCAACTGTTCCATTATTTGATCGTTGTTGTACTTGAGATGATGGTGGTTGTGTTGAAATGGCAATAGTATCATTGGTTGTTGGTAACTTGCGATCACCTAATTATAAGTAGTATAATAAAATACACTAAGTGAATACGAAAAATTCTTTACGGTTAAATGAATAAAAAAACGGAATAGATTTAAAATACACAAAGAACTATAAACATATGATATATACATCTATAACAATAATTCATTAATGCATTTTAATCGTGGGTTTTAAAAAGATGCAGAGGATTGTTTTCAAACTTTCGAAGGAAACGCCCTAATAAAAAAGAAGAGTGAACTGTGAGTAGGAAAATGCTTATCTGTAGTCAAAGCATTGACTTGTAAGTTTTAATTCTGATTTATTCATAATGATATAAGCAGTCCCTAAAGTACCACTATTATTAACTTTCATATAGAAAAGTGACTTAAAACTGGAGTATATATTTACGCCTACATCGGATATGATACTTTATGTATCTATTGTGTTTATACAACAACAATTTAATCGAAGAGGTAATTCAAAGGAATCGTGTTTAGGCCATATAGAATGTATGAGTTTACACTGAATAAGGGACTACACATATATGTTGGTTTGGAATAAGAAAATCAAAGAGTGAAATTATTCAACATAATAAGTTCTTGGAAGTGAGCATTCACGATCCCACATGTGAGACTGGAACCGATGACCTTCAGTTTGGCACGTGAACGCTTAACCTCTAAACCACTGAGCCGGCATCAAACGGTGTTCATATCTAACTTCAATCGACCTTGCACATTGTTGAGGAGTCCCATACTAAGATCAAACGGCTGTTCAGTGTTTCCAGGTATTCAATGGTGGTTTAGCTTACATCGAGTCATGAATTTCAACTATCAAAATCACAACAATCTCTACAAACCTCCATTCCCATATCAATTTCTTTTGAAATAAAGTTTTTTTTTATATATAACAGGAAATATCATATGAACGAAATTATTTCATTCTTCCTATTTCGTCTACTTTTTTCTGAAAACAAAGTAAACAGTATTTATAAAAAGAGAAAATAAAATGAAAGGAATACATAAAAGCAGTCATTCATAATCACTGATACAGCATAGTGCATATGCGCTTCATCTGCTCAAGTTGTGCTAAATTAAAAATGAATACGAGGAGATATAATTTACAAAATAACCAATGGAATCGAAATAACTGTAGTAAAAATCACAAAACATTGAGAGCATGGTTCAAGTAGACAGAATGAAAAAGTACGTGTATAAAAGAATACTGGAATTGAAGATCTAAATAAAGGTAATAAATGAATACGTTTGGATCTATACCACTGATTATGACACGTTCTACTTAATGATAATAAGTGTGAAAACTAGTGACATTATTCAATGTCATAAATCATAGACAATCGGACAAGATTTGAATTGGATACTTAATGGTTGAAAGTTAAGTGTTAGGATTATTGAAACATTTCTTAGTTATTTAATGACCTACATGTTAAGTTCAACCATTTTAGATGATAAATCCAAATAAATTAAAAAAATATATTTAATAGTACATTTAAGATATATATTTATGGGTGGTTTAGCAATTGAAACACTCAACCTTCAGAAATTCGATCAAAGGTTCATAACTATGTGTCATTTACATTAATTTTAATAGTGAATTAGTCCTACAATAAATAGTTCAGTATAAATACTTTTATTGAGGTAACTGTGTTCATGCGAATACATAGAGATAATCTTCGTTAAAAAAATATGTAGTCTATATTCACAATAAGCTCAGTAGCTACAGTGTGTGTGTGTGTGCCACAATCTTGTTCTAGTAGATAAAAAACGGTCAGCAAAACAAGTCTATGATGCACAAGATACCGCAGTTCACGAGTATATATATAAATAGTATATTAGTAGAAATCATGAAAATAAAATAAACTGCTGTCGAAGAAAAATTTCCTTTTCTAATCAACATATTCACTTACGATGGAATGATGGAGATGATGTCATATTTGAATTGGAATTAGGAAGACCGGGTGAACTCCAGGATGCCAATGATTCACTAACTACAACACCAGGTGTAGCAGTAGTATTAGTAGATATATTAGGAGAGGAAGGCAATAACTGAATACCACTAACAGTGGAAGTATAATTACTATTATTATTTGTCGTAGTAGCAGTAATAGATGTAGTACTCATGGTTGTCGTTGTACATATAGCAGTAGAAGTTGTAGTAAACATTGTGTTAGTACCAGTCAATGATGTGATAGATTCACAAACCACTGAACTATTATTATTTTGCATTGGTACAATAGATTGATCAACAACACTATTTGAATTTCTTATTGTTTCATTATTATTCGATATATTGTTATTGATACTGCCACCAGTTAACGATGTATACCCAGATTTGGTGGCAGTACCAACTACAGGTGATGGTGAAGGTAAGTTGTATTGATTTGTAGATGAAGAAGTTACAGAATGAGTGGTATTATTCATAAAAGAATCATGATGATTACAACTGACAATTGATCCAGATGATGATATGTTGGTATATTCAAGCGAAGTATTAACCTCAGATTTTGGGAAATGCATTAAATCTGGATCACAAGGTGATTGACCAGATAACGATCGCATTTTTGTTAGATCTAGAATAATTACAGTAAAAAAAATTAAATAGAAAGTTATGATGTAACATGATTGATCAGAAATTACACTAAACAACAAAAAAATCGATACATATCATGTGTTGGTGGAGGTGGTGGTGGGTATAAGTCATTTTATTGAAGATGATGATTATTCTAAAGCAAACCATTAACAACCATTCTCATCATAATTAATTTATATAGAGAGTTAAGATTTGATAACATTTTTTTAAAAATAAAATGATTTCTAAATGATTAAATCATTATTTTTAATTTAATAAATTAAACTAGTTAATATACAAACAATAAAAAGGTAAATATGATTATTTTGATCAATAAGGAATAATGTTGTTCATTGAAATGATCCACAAATACCCTGGTATGGCCGAGAGTGAAGAGAGTTAGCTGTCCCTCCCAAAATGCTCCTACACAGTCACGTGCATAAAACCACTACCAGGGGAAGTCCTACTCACTGCCTTCTCGCAAAACGGATGTTGTTTATGAAATTGTCCGGAGCTTTAACCGGGTTGCTGAGTATGAAAGATCCATCTACAAGAGTTAGAAAATCCTGATTCCAAACCAATGATGCACATGGGCTCCAGTATACTGTGGGAACAAATGGCATATTAACCAATTCTTGGTCACCGGCTACCATGAGACTGCATCTCCTAACGTTGCTCCACTAACTTGTGGATCAGAACTTTAGGTCAAAGGCTAGGGGTGTGATGCTCTAAGAAAACCACCTGCTTCGGTTTGGGCACCCGGGTAGTACCCAAGCTCTTACACAAGTCGAATGATTTATGTGCTAAAAAAAATAAAAGAAGTTACAAAGTATTTCCATTAAGGGAGTCCAACAAACCTATTTCAAAACTAGTCACTGATTACAGTATAATTATTACTATTCAGAGAATTTGTTTCTCTCTCCGTATACATATATATCACAACGTATAAATACTTCTAATTTTGTCATTACCCAAGGACACAAGACTGAAATTATTGTATTAGATTAAAATGAGGACAACAGAGAAAAAAAACGGAAGTACATAAAATCAATAACCTTTGATATTAATGATAAATTTAATATATAAGTTACGAAAAAAACAACGTGTACAGATCTAAAATAAATTTACATTTCAAAGGGGATGATAACATTTGAAGAAAGTCTGAAGATATATGGACGAGATAACCAAAAAAACTATTGTGATGCTTATGAATTTAAGAAGACAAAACTAACGAGAAACATTTAAAGCAACTTAAATGAATGTCAACAATAAGAAACAAAATGGTAGATTACAAATATAATTATGCTCAAATGATTTTCAGTAATTTAATTTATATTAAATCATCGTTTGATTCACTGTTCAGTGAAGAAAAAAAACTGATAGTTGAAATCAACTTATGGTCCATAGACAATATTAAACATAAATAATAAATCAATATAAAGTATACTATTCTTATGAGTTAATGATACACTACTATATATATATATATATATATATATATATATATATATATATATAGAGAGAGAGAGAGAGAGGAAAAAGTTCTATCCAACAAGAGGCCAGAACACATTTAAGTAGTATAATATAGGTCAGCACAAAATATAAATATATTTCATGAGTTAAGCGCTAGTGTTAACTATAGAAAAAGAGAAATGAACATATACTATGTTTGTAAGCAAAGATGGATAGTGACTAGCAGTACAAACTAGGACACACGTTTCGTCCTATTTGGGACTCGTCGGCTAGATGTACCTGCATTTCAGAGTTGATATTCACGACAGGAATAGAACCCAGTACAGCTTGCTTCAAACGCCATCGCGTCATTCACTTAGCTAGTGAATCCTGATAACCACTTATAAAGCTAGTAAATTAAGGAAATATATAGGCCATCTACATAGGATGTACATATTCCAATAAGAAACTGATCAATTACAGTCTTAAACATCAATAGGAAAATCCAAGTAAGCAATACCAAGTAAATTTACACTATATTTGTCTAAATTGAAAACCAACCTGATTACTGAGAAAAATAAGACATCAAAATGTGAAAAATATACTTTATAGAAGAAATTACTATGAAATTTATATAGTGTCATTGAAGTGAAACATTTAACCTGAATCGAAGTACAAAACTAACTAATTAGTAAGTCATTAAGGTGAATATCCACGAAAATGGGATGTAAGTACAGTTCCGATATAAGATGAAACGTACAATTTAGATTCTATGGTACAACATCCAACAAATTTGGAAACAATCAACAATAAATACTGATCACTTGTAGTTGTTAACAGCAACAATAGGAAAATACAAAACCTTACAAATATAAAACGAATTATAGTTTGAAGATACTGAATGAATTCAAAAATTTACTCACAAAGTAAAATGAATCTAGTGGAAAGTAGTTCGAATCCACAATTTAATAGTTAACAATTCAAAGTATATCTGTTTAAGAGTGAGGAGCTAATCATTATTGGAAGAACACCACTAACTAAAGCCGACGCTAAGCAATCACCATAAACCTTCATCGGTTCTAATGTCTGGGACATGAGCAGCTTTTGTTCTATCGTAGTAGATAACAGAGGAACTGACTGTAAATCGACCACAGTGATGCACTTGAATTCAATCTGTTTTATTCTTGCTTTTCAGAATCGTCTCAGCTTCATTCGGTTAGTACGGAAGTATTACTAAATATCAGTTCAAAAACATATACTCGGTTGATAAACTACATTTATTAACTAATGATTGATAGACTTGGTGTGTATATTTAGACTATTTCTTGAAGACCGCGAGAAAATACAACACTGCCTTGTTAACCTAACTTTTGGTGAAATGAGTTAATACTAAGTATGGATTCCAATTTTACAAATCAATTTTTATATTCATCTATTTTCATTAATTGACTTTTTTAAAATCCATTTCAACATATGACTCATTTTGTCCATTATCATTGTTTTCTTCAGTATTTATCAGCTTTGATTTATGTACGTTTGATGATCATGTTACTGTAACTTTCAATAATTAAATGTAGTTCCAAACACCAGACATATTTCTCCTCTCAGTCAGCTACAACGTAGGACCAGACACATATATACATCGGTCCAAGTTGCCATACCTCATTAACACAACAAAAAGAACACCGGATTCCTAAAGGTAATTAATTCATTGGTGGTAATATATAAAAGAACGAATGTATATAAGGATATAGAAAAGGAAGAAAGAATTAGTTCGTAGAAAGAAAGATATGAAGCGATTTTGACTGTTTTACACATCTTAATGAAAATGATATAGAATCTAATTAATAATCTTAATTAATTCTATTTATATATAATTAAATGTGGTTTGTATGTAGTAGTAGTAGTATATATAGTTATTTATTTTATTTTCATTCGCACTCAACTCATTCACTCTACATCACTACAACATACAACATAAAAGGATGTACATATCTTTACATAATATTTATGAAGAAATAAAGATAAACAATTGCAAGTACTCTAAATTACTGATCGATTTCAGTAAACAATACTAGTTTATCTATATATAAACAAGCAATCTCTTACAGATATGCTCACACAAACATACAAGCACACAGAATAGGCACATTATTCAATAATTAAAATCCACAATTACTTGTATCATTTTCGATTTTCATAGTACAGAGAAGGTGATACGTGTGTATGAATTAAGTTGTGGCTTTATGCAACAGAATATGATGGCGGAATGGTAATGATTACTAATAGTAATTATTATATAAAAAGATGAAGTTACATTAGCGTGGTTAGTAAAGAGATAGAAAGAGAGAAGCACAATTAAACATTACAAGTGAACAGTTAGCAATTTTTTTAAAGAAGGAATATTCTGCTTAAATGTGAATTAATCAAGTCATATGATCAACTTGGTTTATTTACACAACAACTAACAACATTTGAATAGTGGTATTTAATTAATCCAGAAAATTACTTGTTTTCAAAGTGTTGAATTATAGATTTAAAATCTAGGTCCTATCTGATTCAGTTTGAGTAGCTTGGGTGGTATCAACATTGCATTGTTTCCCTCTATCTTTATTTCGCACACGCACACACACCATAAATCACAGAAATGAGTATAGGAACCTGAACATAGTTATTGAATTACATAATAATTATACTGAAGAACTAAATGAAATGGATATAAATGTGTTTCCAAGGATGAGAAAATTTTTAGACAGTGCGGAATAAGTGCATGCAAATATATACTGAGATAAGTTAGCAATTAAACAGAGGTCTTCGTTATTGCAAGATTTCCATCTTTTTACCTTTTGGTTAATTTCATTTGACCGCATTTTAGGAAAAACAAATCGATGGTGATGGTTTAGTACCCGCTCAAATATATAGATATTTGTTGATCAGTATCTTGAGGGTTCGAACCCAGTGACACTCTATATACTTTATGATCAGACAAGATATCATTGACTCTCATATTTAAAGTATGTCTTAGAACTCAATGTACTTGGTAAGTGAATAAGAAATAGCTGATACGTGTGAAAAATTATACCAAACATATTACGTTTTTTGAAAAAAAGAAAGATCATAAACAGTTAGACTTGTCAATCAGTAATGATTCAGGTTTTGCTTTAACAAAATAAGCATATTCACGTAAGAGAATTTCTTTTAACATAGATTATAAACAGATGAAGGTATTTCTAGATATATTGTCAGTCGTGAGATAAATACAAGGCTCTTTGTCCTGTGAAATCTTAGAAACAACTCTACACAGCTCTTTAGATTAAAACTTTTCATCATTTACTAAAGAGAAAAACTGAGTTCAATACGTAATATTTCTTTAAAAGATTAAAACTCCTCCTGGAACCCCTCTGAGTTGGAGAATGCTTGTCGGCGGCCTATCCTTCATTGAGAGTAACAGGTGTAAATAAGTAAGTAATAAGAAGACTATAGTACGGATATCTATATATTAGATAGATAAATAGATAATAAATGCCATAGCAACCGAAATAATATTTC